ATCCCAGGAAGCCATCAGCCAAATATGAAGATTCTATACCTTTTAATTCTTTAGAAGAAGTCGTTTGAAGTTTTTGACATATTTGACCCCTGTGACCTTGAAAACAGGTCAAGGTCATTTTCGTTCTCAAACTTTGTAGGGCTTCTACCAACGAAGCTTTCAGCCAAATATCATGACTCTAGGCCTGTCCGTTCTTCAGAAGAAGTTGTTTAAAGGAAAAGTTGACGGACGAGGACAGACGGACAGACGAGAGGTTCATAGTGGGGTTGAGTGTCCATAAATACACTGCGGGGTACCAAATCTGTTCAAGTGAACAATGTGAGGTAGACGTTGAGAATTCTTAGGAGGGGTACATAGTGGGGTACCATATCAACCCCACAATACCATGGACAGACGAACAACCCCACAATGCTAAGGACACACAACCCCACAATGCTATGGACACACATAGCCTTATATCATTGAACAACCCCACAGTGCTAAGGACAGACAACCCCACAATGATATGGACATACATAGCCTTATAACATTGAACAACCTCACAATGCTAAGGACACACAACCCCACAATGCTATGGACACACATAGCCTTATATCATTGAACAACCCCACAGTGCTAAGGACAGACAACCCCACAATGCTATGGACATACAACCTTTGTGGACACACTAAGCCTTATAACATTGAACAACCTCACAATGCTAAGGACACACAACCCCCCAATGCTAGGGACAGACAACCCCACAATGCTATTGACACCCTAAGCCTTATAACATTCAACAACCCCACAGTGCTATGGACATACAACCTCTGTGGACACACTAAGCCTTATAACATTGAACAACCCCACAGTGCTAAGGACCGACAACGTCACAATGCTAAGGACACACAACCCCACAATGCTATGGACATACATAGCCTTATAGCATTGAACAACCCCACAATGCTAGGGACAGACAACCCCACAATGCAATGGACACACTAAGCCTAATAACATTGAACACCCTCACAATGCTAAGGACACACAACCCCACAATGCTATGGAAAGACAACCTCACAATGCTAGGGACAGACACCCCCACAATGCTAAGGACACACAACCCCACAATGCTATGGATATACATAGCCTTATAGCATTGAACAACCCCCCAATGCTAGGGACAGACAACCCCACAATGCTAAGGACACACAACCCCACAATGCTATGGACATACATAGCCTTATATCATTGAACAACCCCACAATGCTAGGGACAGACAACCCCACAATGCTATGGACACACTAAGCCTTATAAAATTGAACAACCCCACAAAGCTAAGGACAGACAACCTCACAATGCTATGGACATACAACCCCACAATGCTATGGACACACTAAGCCTAATAATATTGAACAACCTCACAATGCTAAGGACACACAACCCCACAATGCTATGGACAGACAACCTCACAATGCTAGGGACAGACAACCCCACAATGCTATGGACATACAACCCCACAATGCTATGGACACACTAAGCCTAATAACATTGAACAACCTCACAAAGCTAAGGACACACAACCCAGCAATGCTATGGACACACTAAGCCTTATAACATTGAACAACCCCACAGTGCTAAGGACAGACAACCCCACAATGCTATGGACATACATAGCCTTATATCATTGAACAACCCCACAAAGCTAAGGACAGACAACCCCACAATGCTATGGACATACAACCACACAATGCTATGGACACACTAAGCCTAATAACATTGAACAACCTCACAATGCTAAGGACACAACCCCACAATGCTATGGACAGACAACCTCACAACGCTAGGGACAGACAACCCCACAACGCAATGGACACAATTAGCCTAATAACATTGAACAACCTAACAATGCTAAGGACACAACCCCACAATGCTATGAACAGACAACCTCACAATGCTAGGGACAGACAACCCCACAATGCAATGGCCACATTTAGCCTAATAACATTGAACAACCTCACAAAGCTAAGGACACACAACCCAGCAATGCTATGGACACACTAAGCCTAATAACATTAAACAACCTCACAAAGCTAAGGACACACAACCCCACAATGCTATGGACACATTAAGCCTAATAACATTGAACAACCTCACAATGCTAAGGACAGACAACCTCACAATGCTATGGACATACAACCCCACAATGCTATGGACACATTAAGCCTTATATCATTGAACAACCCCACAAAGCTAAGGACAGACAACCTCACAATTCTATGGACATACAACCCCACAATGCTATGGACACATTAAGCCTAATAACATTGAACAACCTCACAATGCTAAGGACACACAACCCCACAATGCTATGGACATACATAGCCTTATAACACTGAACAACCCCACAATGCTAAGGACACACAACCCCACAATGCTATGGACAAACAGAGCCTGTTCTAGTTATCAGGATTTTCATGCTGTTGACTAATAAATTGTGTAATCAGGGTTTTCTCCCTACAAGACTGAGCTCAACGCTGAAGAAATTATACGGTCGTTATCCAAATTTAGTTTTCCAGTATGCTATTTTTGTGGTTAATGACATATTAACTTGTCATAAATGTGAACAATGATCCTGTATACGTCAGGAGACATCATGACAGGTGGCACGTGTGCAGCAAGAAAAGCTCACTCGTCCGGAACACCTGATCTCACCTTTGGTTTTTGTGAAGGTTCATGATGTTCTCCGTTTAGGTTTGTGCCTCTTTGTTTCCCAGATTTTTTTACTCGCAACTTTTGATTATGATCAGGTCTGTGTGTTGATGCCGTGGAATTCCGTTGAGTATTATTTTTCTAATTTTACTTGGATTACCCAATCAAGTGTGGCTGTTAATTGTGTATACATCACTGCTTCACATAATTACGCGCACCCATATGAACTCTTCGCAATATCAATGTGCAACGTTGCTACGAGTTGACAACACTACTGTAAAACACTTAAATTGTTGAACTTCATGCTTAACATTTGGAAGTACATGTAGCATGCCACTGATTTGATTCAATATTTCTTGCCCACCTGACAGAGATATCCGTTTCTTTACACACCCCATGGACAGACACCTCATGCGCTCTGCACACAGGACTATATTTTATTACACATGACCGGGGCCTGATATTCTTGGCGCTCTCGAACGGAAAATGTACATCTTATATCAGTACTGATGTGAACATTTATTGTTTTTATAAAAATATTATTGAAGGTATTATTATTATAATTGAAATATGTTCTCAGTACACTATGTACACTTCAAGGTGGACAAGCAAAATAAAATCAACATGCATTAAAACTGTTTTACAGTAGTTATGACTCTGCAAACATTGCTATATCCCTCACAAACATTGCTATATTTGGATTACATGGTCAGTGTATTTCGAACCATTCATGTGTGCTGTGTATTAGTTTGACAACTGAGTGTAACAGAGACACTGTGGCAAATAATGCACACTCACAGAAACAGTCTTAATTAGGACAGGGTATACAAAATGTAATCCAAATCTCCACACTTTCCCTTCGTGCGGGATCAATACTGTGCAATTAGAAATTAAATTCAAAAATACCAAGACATTCCTGGTTAAATTGGAAAACTTTTAATTGAAGAAATTCATAACACAAAATCATAAAACACATGATCAATTTTCATGTTTATACATTCCTGTGTAGCACAGAGATGTGAGTCGTAAAAGGATTAAATCAAAGTATGAATAAACTTCCACATTAGCTACATGACCATAATAATTTCACGTACAAACTTACAGATGTAATTGTAATCAGACATTTGTCAATGCGTGTCAACACACCAACAATCCCGCACTCATCCGGGAAATCAAAGCGAGACCAAAAGCGATGACGACAACAGAAAAAGTAATGAAATAATTACCAGTTTTATAATGGTTGGTGTTGCACTAATATCTAAGCTAACTAATGCACTGCCCAATTAGATTTGGTTATTTCCCAGTTTAATTTCTCTTGCCATCCCCCTTTTTGTCTCGTTTCAATTTCCCGGATGAGTGTGGGCCAGTGCTGTTTGAGTGAATGAACATAGCTCCACCCCGGTCGAGAACGGAACGGTCACATACTATCGTAGTATGCTGACAACACTTCTGTTATTCTTAATGGATCTAAAAACTCCTAATAAGGGAACATTAATGGAATTGGAAATATCAGGGTTGAGAATAAATACAAATAAAACTGAAGTAATTTGGATAGGTAGCATGAAATACAGCAAAGATTTTTTTTTCCAGAGTGGAGTCTACGTTGGGGAAATCCTAAATTCACTGTTAAGGATTTAATTCCATGTTGATTTTTACAAGATAACAAAATTGAACTTTGACAAAAAAATGGTAAAACTTAAGGTGCTTATTAAAAGATTGATAGAATACATATAATTATTTCCTTTGGAATAGTAAAATAGACAAAGTAAAAGAGATGTTATTATTAAGACTATGCAGAAGGGGGGCTAAAAATGATACATATACAATCTTTTATTAAGGCATTAAAACTAACATGGATGACCTAACAAGTAAATGGCAAAGTATACTTAAAACAGATATTGATATAGATATTATAGCTAACTGCAGATCAAATTTGGAAAGATGTTTTTAATTCTTGGATGTCTCTCCTCACAGTACATTGATAAGGAAGCTATTTTAATGGAAATAATCAGTATTGAAAATGCCTATCTGGTACAATAAACACTGACAATAGAAAATAAAGGATTAACTATTATCAATGACATAATAAAGAATTCTAACACCTGCACCTTTTATAACTTCCAAGAATTTACAGAGAATTATACTTTTAAGAACTTTTTAACTCTTCAAGGCATTTGGTAATGCAACAAGGAAAACCTGATCCATAAAGAAATTATAGATAACGTAGTAAGTTATCCAATTATGCCAATTAACTTTCTACAATATACTCTTGTCAAAATGACACAACAGCTACCGGCATATCATTGATATTGTAAATATTTTGTAATGTTAACAATTTTCAATAATAAAAAAACACACAGAAAACATTCAATTGGTGGTAATTCAGAGCTGGCCCTAGGATAATATGATATGATATTTTCCTACCATTTCCTACATATCAGTTTTGATGGGTAGTGGGGGGACTACAGGCTTCTCAAACAGGAACCACCTATGGATGTAATCAATTTTATTAAGTGCTGTGCATATAAAAGACAATATTTATCTGCAACCACCACAATGCACAGGATTTCTTTATTTTGGAGTCCCCCCATGGGACAGCTATCCCTTTAATTCAGTATTTCGATTGTTCAAAGAGTCAGTGTATGTATATCACTATGTAGTTTTACTGAACTGTTTGTTTGGCATGTCACTGCTTATTACGCTGTTTTATCAGCATGGCGCTGACCTTTTTCTTAATGTTGTCTTTTGTCCTCTTGTGTATCTGCCCATTTTTCTTCACACTGACCCGAATACATGCTGCTATCTGGGTATATCCAGGACAAGCATTTGTTTGAAAGTTCTTCTCAAACAACAAACGTATTTCCTCCTCCTCTTCCTCCGACCACCTTTGCCTTTTCGTAGCAGGTTTCTGTCTCCTCTTCTGTCTTTTGGGTTTTCTCTTGGATGCTGAAAAGAAAAACAATTATGTGATAATACCAGGGGGGGGGGTGTAAATCCAGATTTCCCTTTATTCCTTATATTAAATCGGTTTTAATATTTGATGGGTGGTCGGGTCTCTAAAAAGGTGCCTCCTGACCCCCCCCCCCACATTTAATTCTGGAACAGCCCTAACATGAAAGACAATAAAATAGCATGAATAATATCTTGGAAACAGATAAAAGTTTGTGACGTGACAGTCAGGGCTATAATTCCAGTAAAATATCTATCCCACGGGGGGACTTCAAAATAAAGAAATTCTATGCATGGTGGGTGCTGGAGAAAAGACAGCTTTATGGTACTGTTAGAATTAATCACTTCTGTCGGTGGTCCCCTTTTGACAAACCTGGAGTCCCCGTGGGGTAGATATTTTACTGGAATACCTCTCACATGGTTTACAGTTTTTATGAACAGATTTTTTTTGTCAATGATTGAATAAAATTGTTTTTTGATATAACATTTATGAATTATTTTGATTAATTTCCAGTTCTCTATGCATTGCATTTAAAGTATTGTATCGTACCGACTGTACCGAACCGTGTACCGCAATATGTATCGTATCGTGAGGTTGGTGTATCGTTTCACTTCTAGTTGTTTGTACGTTGTAACAACCCAATTATGTTGAGGTGGAATCCCCTTGCAGAAGAGCAAACCTCCACTGAACATCGTGCAGGAGACTCGTCGCAAGAAATCCAACCCAGACAATTTAAGTGACACCATATGCATGCAGGCATGCGACTGAACAATTACGTTAAAGAGGCTTGATTTGAACTGCAAACGCAGCAATCTACTGGCCTTTAGGAGTTTGCTTTGACAGTTGCACACTTTTGTTCTACACTTACAACTCTCAAGCCATTCCATTTCCTCCACCTCCTCTTCCTCTTCTTCCAGAGGAATATAATCCTCATCCATTATGGCTGTTGGGCCAACGGAGGAGGATGTTGAGGAGGCTGCCTGTGGGCTCGAGACCAACTCCTCTGGCCTAGTATTCGAGGTCGACGAGTGGGATGATTCTGTAGGCTCAGATTCATCCAGTAGATCTGCAATGAGATATGTAGTAAACGTCTTTTATCGTACAAGAAAAACAACAAAAATATGCACATGACAATACAATTAACAGGAATGATTTATTAATAAATCTTGATGTTTTGGATTTTAAAATAATATGCAAATAGCAGGAATATGATAAAAGTGAATCCCACTGTAATAATAATTGTTAAATTTGAGTATGGTGGAGGTGGGAAGGCACTAAAAAATTCATAATATATGGGTGGTGGGGTCTGCGACACTAACAAAGGCATAGTCTAACAAGAGGCCCATGGGCGTAAACGGTCACCTGAGAATTTTAATTACTGGAAGCGTACTCATTTTTGGCCCCACCCCCCAATGCCCTGGTGGGTCAGGTCCCTTATAATTACCTATGTATTATTAACACCAATATTATAGCGAATTTGGTTAATTTCCTAGACCCCAAGGGGTCGGAATGAACAAACTTAGATCTTGACACCTAGATGTACCTTTTGTGCAACAGAGTTCACATGTGGCATTTCCCGAATATGAGAAGATTTGTTATAAGATTTGCTGAAATTTCCCTTTTGAGCCCCATGGGGGGACGGACCCCTATTTTAACAAATTTGGATCCCCTTCCTCCAAGGATGATTCCTGCCAAGTTTAATCAAAATCCATTCAGCAGTTCTTCTTCAGAAGTCGAAAATGTGAAAAGTTTACGGACGAAGACGGATGGCAATAGGTCACTTGTGACCTAATAATAATTAAAAATAATTATAGTTGGTGGGTGTCAAACAAGGCTAACATGGTTAAAAGTAAACTTTTGACAAATATTTCCAGGTAACTACCATTGAACTGGATTTCCTCCAACTTCTTCCCTTTAAATCTGCCGACTAGCCCCATGTCTTGTATCATCAGAAGCTTTGCTATGTCCACCCTCTCGATGATGTCTGAGGTCTGTCTGTAGTGGACTCGGTGCACGTCCATGGTGTGGCCGAGATGATCTAAAACCCACTGTCTCTCGGTCTCTGTCGTATTGAAGACCTAAAACATTGTTTTAAAAAAAAATATTATAAATATGTGGGGATTTACAGTCTTCACAATTTGGTGGTGGGGGTCAGACAAGGTGGACAACAAGGCAAAAATCTGTCTCGTATTTTTAACTAAAAAAGGGCACCGCGAAGTGGAGAATATCCCCTTGCCAGTCTGTATGCATACATTTCTGTGACCTTGACATTTGACCTTGAATTTGTGTATATTTTACGAAAGTTTTGCGTACATTACGTAAAAATTAGTGTTGTACGATTCACGATTTAGGTCAAACATAAAATGATATATTTACGGAAAGCTATATCCCCTCCAACCGCGTCGAATGGGGATAATAAAGAGTGTGTAATAAGCATTTGTAATACACCCCTTTATTACATGAAAGGAGATATTTCTATCTTCCACATACAGATGAGAGAATTGAATATATTATTGGTTGCAATTTTATACTTACTTGCAACATGGTGGCAAAATATTTCCTCATGTTACTGGTCCTAATAAGATGCGGCATCTTCAGACCAGCATTCATGGTGACCATCCGAATGGCATCATATGCCCTGTAGACTCCAATGTCTATGCAAGACAAAAAAAGAAAAGAATTTTACAAACAAGACACTATGCCCCTGGGGGATTGTCATTCGCATATTTGTTTGAAATGTCAACAACTCCAGGGTCAAGGTCACAGGTCAATAGTCAACATATGTGATATCATTGGAAAGGTCCTGTAAAAGGACATGTCGTTAATAAATAAATTAGAAACAATGCAGTTAAATGTAGTTCAAAATGTCGCTTAAATAAATTAGAACTATGTAAGGGTAACATTAAAGCCACTCACATGGTAAAAAATGATTTATGATGTTTGATGGTGGGTTAACAAATAAGGCTCAATATGCAAAATATGTTGTTTTCCCAATATCAATTATAGGTTATTACAATCGATCATCAAAAATAATTTTGTCAACCATCGTTTCATCACTAGTTCTTTGTATGAATCGTAATTGTTGCTGCAAAGAGAAAATGATCTATTGTACTGCCCAGAGCATATATGCCAGCACTATAGATCTAATAACCTGAAAATAGTTCCTTACTAGTATTGGCGAACAAGTATGGGTTCTCCTTTGTAGTGGTGATAGCCCTTGCAGCAGGATTTGCCAAGTACTGCATGCAATTCAACACATCTGGCGGCAGTATGACAGGGACTCCTTTACCAGTCTAAAATAAAATGAAATGTTTAAGAGAAGTCGTCTAAATTCAAAAAAAACACATTTCATAATAGACTAAGATATAATAATGTATCCATTTTTATTGCCACCCCAGGGGTGCTGCACTTTTACAAAGTGAGTGAAGGGGAGGGCAACTTTTTTTTTTTAATTTTTGGTCTGAAATGTGTCTGTAGGTGTCCTTTATGGATGAAAGTTGTAAAAAGTACCTGCAGGTATGTTATAGACATTTTTTAACCATTTTGGAGGTTAACTTAAAAGGTGGGCACTAATTAGAATGGGGGTGGCAATAAGAATAATTAAGATATGTAGATCTCGTTAAAATTTTAGCTTAAAATATATTAAGAATGGAGGTTTAAATGTCCTTCCAATCCCACTAATACATTTATCATAATCATTAATAACTGACAAACCTTTCCTCTGATAACAACCACTTCTTGTCTTTCAAGGAGGTGAGTTTCAAACTCTGTGAGTTGTCCTCTCAATTCTCTGGATACCCCATTCACATCCGACGTTCTCTGTGCATATGTAGTCAGCCTGAAAGACAAGGAATATGACCTTCAGGAAATGTGTACTGGCAAAAGCTGCATGAAGAGAGATCCAAACACTTCTATATTTCAATGCAATTATATCACAATTCATTCATCAGTTTTATAATTTAATTGTAATTGTATATCCTCTATATATCAGTTATTAATTCAAAATGGTATAATAGATAGTTAATCCTGTCCAAAACAGCCAGTCTAAGAGAGTCAAGTTAAAGGGCCGTTTATATGGGCAGGTGGCCTTTATACATACATTTCAATTTACCGTTACCTACCAGTAAAATGTTTTCTATCATAACATGTATATGTGTTACACCACTCTCAAGCGACTCAATAAACAAGGCAAGAGTTTGTTAAATAAATTGTTAAACCACATGCCGTTTAAATATTCCTGGCAATTTTATCCGAGAACTCAGGACCTCACAATTTGACCTTGTGACCTCCAAAGTATGACGCAACAATACAGCAACAACAATAATGCGACGTCACATATGCAATCCACAACGGCAAAATGTAAGGCCCGCCAAAGAGGAACTTTCTGTTCTTGTCAACAAGATGGGGAAAGAGTCTGATTATAAGTAGAAAGAAGTTCCACAACTCATGACGGTTGTTTATAGTGTTTTTATCCAACTCTCATTTGTTGATTTTCAAAATTTGAAACTTAACAAACTTAAGTTTGACAAACAACTGTCACTCGTGATACCTCTATTTGTAATGACTGACTGTACCTCATTGCCTGTACTTCATGACATCTACGTCAGTTGTATAGTGTGACTCTCGCTAGTGTCAATGTGGCAATTCTTCTGAAGTTTCCTCTAGTGTAGTCCATAAGATCTAAAGTTTCCAGTTCATTTTGGAGGTACGTGGCAAGTGCTTTGATGTCTTCTGGGAGGGGCAACTGTCTGGTTACATTGAATGCACGCTCTGTTAATGTTACTCTTGCAAGTTTATTTACCTTAGTTCCCCATTCCATATCCATGAGTTTAAGAAACCCTTCAGCATCCTTCCTCACTGTTTCGTCACCTTCTTTCAATGCAGTTGCTAACTTCGCTGAAGCCATCCTCTTTATGTCGTAGCCCAATTTTATAGCATTGGTTGGGCTCTTTAAATCTTCTTCATCGTCCTGATTACAGCACTTCAAGGCAGCCAAAACGGTGTTGTCAAAGGATTTTGGGGACAGGAGTTGTGCTAGATCTTTGTCTCCACCATCTATCTTCTGCAATTCTAACTTGAATTTGGCAGCTAGCCTCATTACGGAAGACGTGTAGTAGCACCTCATCAGTTTGTTCCCAACGTTGCGCAACATCCAGTTATTTCCTAAAGTAATAATCAATGGATCACTTTTGGCGACTTTGGAGACTTCGTCGTGCTGCATGATTTTGAAAGTTTCTTCTATCAAAGCTTTAGAGGCTCTGCTGTCCATCTTTTCGGCCAAGATATCGGACTGAACAATGAGGTTTCCTTTGCTCATCTTCAAATATTGATCACAATCAGTTCCACAACAAGTCTTAAGGTGGCGTTTCACTGAGCACTGAAGGATCCATCCTAGGCATTGTGGACATGGCCCATACCTGTCGACAGAGAACCGTGAGTCATTTTCCTTTTCTGTCTCCTCTGCTTCGTCGTCCTCTTCGTTATTGGCCACTGTGCATGATCTCCTCAACATAAAGACTTCCCCGCTTTTTTTTTTGGAGGACTTTAACGTTGTGGACATGTGAACCTTTCAAACGTAGCAGCTGGATTTTCCGTTTTCTTTCTGCTGGATTGTCACCTAGTTCTAGGACCTCATCTTCGTTTTCATGCTGTTTAGAAAGAATGTGGTGTGAAAAATTTGTGACACACTTGTCACAAAGAGGACATGGGTGAGCTGAATTGTACACTCGGTCCGATTTCTTCCGTTTCCCTTTGATTGTGTGTGAGTTTTTCTCAATCAGTCTGATGTAAATTTTGGGATTCTTCAGATCTCTTGCAATTTCGCTTTCATCCAAAATCTGATTTTCATCCTCATCTTCCTCGATTTTTCTCTTCTTTGCTTTCTTGTTTCCCATTGGCTGTGATTGGAACATGATCGGTTGTGACTTCAATGCTGGATAAATGTCAGAATTGTCAGATTCATCTGCACTGCCTGGAATAATTTCAGTCGATGACAAACACTTCTCACTTTCTTCCGATTCTTCCACTTCATTGAATTCTTTACTGTGGGGTTCATAACCTGGGTCAACGTCATAGTCATCCTCCTTACGTTCTTCCGATGTTTCCACCTCCTTCAATTCTTTACTGTGGGGGTCATAACCTGGGTCAACGTCACAGTCATCCTCCTTACGTTCTTCCGATGTTTCCACCTCCTTCAATTCTTTACTGTGAGGTTCATAACCTGGGTCAACGTCACAGTCATCCTCCTTACGTTCTTCCGATGTTTCCACCTCCTTCAATTCTTTACTGTGGGGTTCATGGGGTGGGTCAACGTCACGGTCATCCTCCTTACGTTCTTCCGATGTTTCCACCTCCTTCAATTCTTTACTGTGAGGTTCATAACCTGGGTCAACATCACGGTCATCCTCCTTACGCTCTTCTGATGTTTCCAGCTCCTTCAATTCTTTACTGTGGGGTTCATAACCTGGGTCAACGTCACGGTCATCTACCTTACATTCTTCTGATGTTTCCACCTCCTTCAATTCTTTACTGTGGGGTTCATAACCTGGGTCAACGTCACAGTCATCCTCCTTACGTTCTTCCGATGTTTCCACCTCCTTCAATTCTTTACTGTGAGGTTCATAACCTGGGTCAACATCACGGTCATCCTCCTTACGTTCTTCTGATGTTTCCACCTCCTTCAATTCTTTACTGTGGGGTTCATAACCTGGGTCAATGTCACGGTCATCCTCCTCACGTTCTTCTGATTCTTCCACCTCATTATCATCATCATCTTCATATTCCATTGACATGCACCCATCAATATTGCCTTCATCATCTTTTCTTGTCCCATCTCTTAAACCCTCCAGCACCCACTGTAAGTCGTTCAGGAATGCCTCCTGTGTCAAAGGTTTTCTTTTGAGACATTCTGCAAGAGAAAACAAATGTTTTAACATACTTTCACCACATTTTCATTTTACTGACCCCCTTCCTAATCAAATTGTTTTTCTCTCTTCATCCTAGAACATAATAAAATACAAATCGTTAAATGAAATGCAACTTAAATATTATATAATGAAGAGATAAAGAAACGCAGGGTAAACTTCTGTGGTGATTTAAAGTAACGCATTAGAAAAAACTATCCTTAATGAACAAATTTCCAAAAATGTCATTAGTTGTTGACCAATAATTCCATAGTAATGTGCATGGAGTTAATCAGCGTATGGATCATCCTCATTGGAATGCTGTTCCACTCTTCCAATAAGACAGTACTTAATTGTTCTAAGAGTGGCAGGGGGATTCTGGTGCCGCCGTAACCTCCTATCCAGTTTGTCCCACAAATTGGGGACAAATCTGGACTATAAACCAAAAAATAAACCAGCAACGTACAAACATTAGAAGCGCAAATGGTCAAAACCCACCCGAGCAATCAGTCATTACGGATACTATGATAAAATATAATAGGGCTATGAAAAGACAAGTTTTGTCGATCAAGTACATTTCCTTTCACATTTTCCTATTTTCCATGTCTGTCAAGGTTATATCTCTCAAACCCATACTTTAATTCTAGATTAATCTTTGCTGCCAAACATTACAAGCACAATATTATGGTGATTATATTTTCCAATGTCCATGAAAACAGCTCTGGCTAGCTGTTTTCCAAAATTTGTTTTCACAACATCTACTCGGGTGAACTGAGAAAAAAAGTAAGGCTGTCACAATTACCAGGATGATTCCCCGGGTAATTGCTCACGGTTAGGTTTCTATGCAAAAAATGTTACTGAATTGTGTAACCAATAACACAACCATAAAATTACTTTACTCTAGATCTTAGAAAAATAGCCATAGGATAGCAGTTCAGCTGCAGTTCATCACATTCACAAGTCGCCATATTGGATTTTAGCCAAGAGCTAGGCAGACAGAGCAAAGGTTTATATTAATTTCAACCATTTTTTTTGTCATTTCAGTGGTGAAAGAATGATAAGAAATCAGCATGCATCACTTGATATAAAATTAATGTTGACCGAATTAAAGAGTTTTTAAGGTACTGTAGTTTGTGTAACACAACAGACAAAAATATTAAACTAACACATGTGTACTAGAATGCAACAGGCAACCAGCAAAATGAAATGGACTTGCACAATTAGGCCCCGCCCCGGGGCGCACCAACTTCATTTATACAAAATATGATCCATTTGTGCCAGTTTCACACCAATTTTGGTTACAATCATGCAGACGTTCATGAGAACTAGTCTTTTAAAGGAAAAGTTGAAGACGGACGACAGACGCCGCACCACGAAATAAGCTCACATAAAATGAGCCAATTAAAAACACAGCAGCAGTGCAACTATTTTTTTAAGTTAAGTTGAAATCAAATAAAAGGATTTTTTAAACTTTAAATTTCAACATGATACATTAACTTAAAAAACAATCAACTGCAAAAACAAAACATGCTTGAAGAGTTTGTTCATGAGTAGGTCTAGGTGTAAATTTAAACAATAAACTAGAATTACAATGACTTATTAATAACTTTTAGGGATGTGTTTATTTTTTAAAGGGCACTTAGTATGAAGGGGACGGCAATAAGAATGTATACAGTATTGATTTTTGAATTAAAATCATGACAGCCTTAAAAAATATAAAAAACAGCAACATCAACAAAGTAATACAACATTAAGGCTATACAAAATTAATTATCTGGTTCTCAGGCCATTTTTTCTGAAAAGTGATCAGGGAGGGAGGCATTTTATTTTTTTAATTTTATAGTGGACAAAAGAAATGAGTTTTTTTTTATTTTAATTTTTTTTTTTATCGAAATTTCAAAAACACAGCAAGCAGCACAGTGTGTAATTTGTCAAGACACCATGAATGGTATATACTATATGATATATAATGTCAACCAATTACAAAGTTTCTCAAATACTATTAATACTGTAAGGTGGCAGAGTACAGTAGAAATGGCTTGACCCTAAAAATAAAGGGCATGTCTCGGATAAACATGGATAGCGGATTCATCCTGCACAACACACCTACATATATACATATATTTATAAACTACATTTTGAATAGGTGTTTTTTAGAAGAACATTTTTTTTTTCAAAAAGTGATTTCCCCAGATTTGGGACTTCTGAAAACCATGGTTACCACATCAAAAAACACCAAAATATGCAAAAAATCATGATTTTTAACCCAGAATTTGACCCCCGCAAGTAGAATTGTTTTTCTTAAAACCTGTCTGAAATTAAATATCGCCTACTCGGTAACAGAAATACTCACGTTTTAGCATAGGTCATTCCGGTGGATTTTTCACAATATTTACACATGTGCTGAGTACAAAAATAGACTACATGAAAAGCTAGCTTTTGTTGTGTAGACACAGATTCGTAAATGCCCAAAATTGTAGTCTCAAACCAAATTCGACTTTTCTTTTTTTTAAATTATGAAGCCCACATAGTCCACTTCATCATGTATATGCCAATTTTAGTGCTGATTTTTTTTTTAAATTTTGATACATGTTATATTACAGGGGTTATTCATTGTATAAAAATATCACCCATGGCCACCGTACGCTACTGTACTCTGCTACCTTATACATCCCTTTTTTTCCCCAAAAATTCAATCAAAACCTTTTAAATGTCTGGAAAATGACACAATGAACAAAAAGATGTATCCGTTTCCTTTCTCACTTTAAAAGTGACCGAGTAATATGAATTCTCCTGCTAGGTGATTTTTTACCAATTCTGCTCTCAAACTACCAACAAAGGGAGGTAATCTGAAAAATTAAAACTTGAATAACTTTGTAGTTTTCAGGAATAATTTTTTTTTT